TCTCATTAAAAAGGTAATTATACAAAATTTCTAATTAGAATCAATTAATCATGATACCCTATACTTCAACTTTTGCACCAATGGATTAATTAATGTTTGTCAGTTATCACAACTTTCTTTTTAACCGTAAACTTCTTACGGACGTTTCTCTCATCGAAAAGTCATGAGATCATGAAGGAAAATATCTGTTTCCATCGGCTACATTCCTCCGGAAATAGGCCAAAGTTCCTGTTGTTTTCCTTTCTCACTATATTTATCGGAAGAATCACTTGAAAAAGAAGGAATTTAATTACTATTTCTTTTTCTATCCTAACAAAAAGAAGTTTTCCGATTCATCGCATCATTTTCGCATTAGAATTCTAAGCTCTGGTTTGATTATATTCTCGTATGGACGTTAATTTGAGAGAACACGAGATCAGGAAGATCTAACCACCTCACGTTTACACAGACATTTTTTATTCTTGATATTTTAGTTTGAAAATGATGAAAACGAGAGACGGCGTACTCATGAAGAACGTTTGAAAGAAAAACACCGCCATTTAATTCAAAATCTTCACAGTAAACAACAAGCAACAAGAAACGAATTGTTACTTGTTCAAGTAAGTTAAAACTACGTCTGGTTTGCCAGTTGTATCGAATGATTTTTCACTTTCAGAGACAGAAATTAGAACAATGTGTGGAATTCGAAACGCGAAAATTACAAGAACTTCAACAAACATTCGAAAGTGATTGGGTAGAATTTCGCAACACACAAAAGTCAAGAAAATTGGTAAGTTTCTCATCATTCGAAAAGAGATTTATTTCTTCTTTTGATCTTCAATGAACAAATATGTTTTTGTTAACGACAGATATTTACGAATTGAATCATTTTCTCTAATACAGATTGATCATTTCCATATTGATGTACCTCCTTGGTTACCGATAAAATCTACCGGTCAGACTAATGAGAAATATTCTAGCCCAAATCGTCAGACATTTGTCTACAATGCAGATGAGATCTCTCTTGAAGCTCTATTGGATCCGAGTTTTCGTCCAATGACAACATCAACATCGCCTCAACAAGTCTATCCAACTAATTACCATTCCGCACCTCATTCATTAGCAAATGTAATACCAAATATTCGATACGATCGAGCTTCGTTTGATCCGTCAATTGATATACCAGCTAATCAACCATTTTCAACACTACCGACTCGCCGTCGTCGCCCACAGTCGAATGTAGACAATGTCGCCATCATTCACATTTGAGAGACCGGTAGATCGATAGTAAAATAGTTAGTATTAGCTCGCTAATCGATTTCGTTTCGCTAATGGCAAACGAGAGTCATTCTAATGATCGGTGATTGGTTCTAGAAATTGATTAACTTGTCTAAGGTCGATTGTTTAACGGTGCTTTGTATTTCTCTCTAGCAATTGCCTATCTCTCTTCCATTTTCGAGTGCGACAGCTACTCGAACTCGATTTTCGCCCAACACGGCAAAAGTCGTTCAATCCCCAGTAACATCGCATGCACCTGCTCTACTTCGTTCAACTGGTGGTTATCGTCTTCAATCATGGCATTCATGGCCGGGTGTCGAGTTAACTGACGATGAGCAATTCTTCAAATTAAGCAATGATAGCGAGCATATTCTCTTCTAAAACCTGAGATACTCATGGAGAGGTAGTTTTCCTACGAATACTATTTCATCTTATATCCATTGGGCATTTCTTTTCTTCATATTTCTATTCACTAATCAACAATTATTATGACTATTGTTGTTGTTATTGCTACTGTTGCTGCTGCTCGAACTGTCACATAATGTCCTATTCATCTGATATCACTCTGCACATATGTCTAACATTCTAAACGAAAAGCAATCTTTTGATTTGCATTGACAAGGATTATATATCTTTTTGTTGTTATATTTTAGGAATTAGAAGAAAAATTTGCACGGGAAACATTAAAGCAAAGAGATTTCTATTTTGATACTCCACCAGCATCAAATTTTGGAACATTGAATTAGTTGCAAAGAAGATCTTCTCTTTACATTCATGTTATACTTTTAGTTTATTCTTTTTCTCAACATCATCTATCTATTAGCTTCCCAGGAATTGTCTTTTGTCTTCGTTTCTTTTTTTCTCGTCTCCTCGTGTATATGTTAATACGTCCTTATCTTTGATCAAAAATGCATACAAAAGAAACAACCAAATAGAATAGGTTTCTGTGTTCATTCGCTGTTTTTTCTTTCCAAAATTATCTATTGGTTACTGTGAATTACTTCTATCATCGTCCTTCGATTGATGCAATGCATTCGACTCATTCTGTCAGATAACTTCTGCATCCATTTCATATTTTTTTCTCTTTACTGTTTATTTCGACGTATTTATATACATATATCTATTATTGACTATCATGTTCTTTACTCTACTTTTGTGTTCCTATTGTATCTTTGCTATAACATTGACGAAATCCAAAATGACTGTTTTCTTTCTTTCTTTCACTTTTCTTTTTGTGACGACAGTGATATGTTTAAAGGCACCGCTTATTTATGACTCCACCGCTTTTGCTTGCATATCAGTGGCATTTATTTCTCTTCCACGTGCTTTGACATTGAAAAAGAAACTTATGATAATCATTGATGAAAAAATAAACTCAAATAATAATTGTTAACTTGTCTATTCTTCACATCTGCATTCTGTTTAGATAAATGGTTACAATTAATGTAACACTTGGCCTTAGTTGCACGATCGTCTCTTTTGGTTTCTTCTTACTTTGTCGATATCTTATACGTCCGTTGACGAATTATCGATTATTTATAAACAAAACAGATAATGAGAAGAATGCTCCTTCGCCGTCATTTCAAACTTGGCTGACCGATCCAAACGAAAAACGATGGCAACGATTGAATTTATTAATCAGTTGGCTACATGCTCTTATCACCGGTGTACTTGTTCTTTACAGTTTTCTCGCCTATCCAGATCTACGTAATGATTTCGTCGAACATGTTAATCTTGTCACATATGTCACTTGTTCTTTATCTTTCGGTAGGCAAAAGTCGATGTATTGAATGTTTTGAACTAATATTCTTGTATTCTCACTTAGGTTATTTTTGTTACGATCTATGTGATGTGATTTCCAATCGAAAAGGATCGGATCTGTTCGAAATACTTCTCCATCATATTGTGGTAAGTCATTTGACCGAAACATATTTCGTCTCCAAGGAAAAAACCTTCTCAATTCATTAAAGTTTCCCTGATGATCATGTCTCCGTAGACACAAACATCTTCATTTCGAGATCATGGTCAATGTTCTACTAATAGAACACGGAAAATAAGTCATGACATATTGTTTCCCTTTTGTCATGGAAAGGCCCATTGTCAATGACAGTTGACGTTTGTCGACCGAGATCTAATGAGCTTCCTCTTCCAGCTCACCGTAACATATAGAATAGACCTGTTCCGGTTCGTAACAGGTATGAAGAATCAATATTTATGTGTCTATAATTTACCTTACAAACAAACGTACCGTAACACATTACGATTGATATCTTGTTTGATTGATCAATTTTCCAATGAAACACTCGAAACCAAATGTGTTACCGATTAAAAGACTTTGAATGCAAGTCAAACTCTAATTTGCTTCTTCCATTTCTTTTAGGTCTTGCTGTTTTTCGGCTGGAATATTTTTTGCAAGAAAAATATTGGCTATCAAATCTTTGCATTATTGGCTGAAGTCAATTCAATATTTCTTCATGCACGAAAACTTCTGCATTTATTTCATATTTCACGAGAGAATTTTTTTGTTCGATTAAATATGATTTTAAATATTCTCACATTCTTTCTTTGTCGGTTATGTATGTTATTTTTTGTTACAATTTTTGTTTATCATGATCGTCATCGTGTAGGAGATTCTTATTATGTGTTTGTGACATGTGTACTTATTCCAGTCATGTGGATTATAAATCCAATTCTTTTCTATCGCGTCTTAAATACAGATTTTCTTAAACGATATAAATCACGGCAATTAATGTCGTAGTCGAGTACATTGCGGAGAATGATTTGGTCGTTTTCTTTTTTTCGTAATGAGAACAAAATATTTTTTGATCTGAACGTCCAGAATTGTATTTGATGTGTCTTGCGTACAAATAGAAATCTTTAGTGTAACCACTTCTCATCGAAAATTCCAGTATTTCTTGCACAGAACCTTTTTGCTAAGCATCTACTATATAGAATGTGTATATAAGTCTTCAATCTCTTTTATTCCCAATAAACAAAAATGTTCTATAGACAAAGAATCAACAATTGAACCTCGATTGATGTTTATTCATTGATAGAAGTGAGAAAATATGTAAGCACGTCGTCGATATATTGATTGAATAACATCGTAATTATTGTAAATATACGAATCATCAGTTGGTAATGATTCGTCAATGAGGTGTGATAAGAAAGAATATACCTTCGTTGACAAATTTCGATCAATCAATTCCAGTCATAATTTCGTGTTTTGAATATGTAGTTCTTATGTGATAATTAGCTTTGAAGATAAAACTGATAATGATCTGTCAATTAATGACATTCAAAACATGAAGAAAGGTACGAAACTAATTGAAATCGAGTTTTTTTTTCATTTTCGTCTTTGACAAGGTTTTCTTTTCTTGGAACAAATTAGACAATTACGTTTCAATCAACTTCGACCTTTCCATTTTCTCTCTTTCTCTTTTCCATCCATGTTTATATTTTTTTCTCTTTCTGATTTGTAAATACGATTCATCAGGTAAAAATAGAATAATTTCATGCACGTAAATAACCGAATCATCAACATATAGACACTTGAAATCACTGTTGCGGTCTGTATATTTCATATAACCAAGGTGTTTTTTTCTGTCCATACGTGTATATATTAAATATATTATATTTCTATTCTGTTCGTTCACCTGTTTCGTTTTATTACTTTCGTTCGTCAGTGTCGACAAGAACACAAGGAAAACGACAGCTATCTATTCCAGTAGTTTCGTACAGTAATGTATCAATCACCGGTATCAACACATGGATTTAATCACCAATCATTCTATCGTCAACCAGTATCAAATCTAAGGCAGATTAATGAAATCGTCTGGAATCGCACTAACGAAGTACAACAATCACATACAATTCCTCAACGTGCTAATATGGATAAACATATATACTCATCGTTGGAAGAAGCAATGAAACATCAAAGTGAATTGAGAAAAGAACCAAAATTTAAAAATGATAATCTTTCTCGAGAATGTATATGAGTTCCCTCTAAACCTATTTTTTACTAATTGTACACACTCGTCTTTTTAGCAAATAGGACTGCGACAGTTATGTCTAATCAAGTTCCAAATCGAACATTAGCTCGACAAGCAAGTTTAGGCGCATTGCCTACTATTGAAGATATATTACCGCAGCCTGCAGCACCTCTAACGAATTCACGTTCAATTGGTACGATACATGATTATATTCAAAGAGAACGAAAAGCTCATACAGTGGCTCCTCTAACTAAAATATCAGGACCGAATTATGCACAAAAAACAAGTATGTTCGCTAGTACTCTCGCTCCAAGTGACGCTCAAACTATGAAGGCAAGTGGATTGCCACAATCACTGTCTGGTGCAGTTTTAAATTCGTATAGTCAACAAGCTGCTGTAGAGTTGGCTGACGTTGATGATACTAATGTTGAAGAAGATGATGATGACGACGCACCAATCATTGTCAAAGTGCGCTATGATCCAGAAGCTGGTGGTCCACCATCGGAAGATGCTATTCGACAAGCTGTTGATAATCAATTGCAACGAGACTCAGGACAGCGAATGGCTAATGATCCAATTATTCTTAACTTTTTAAACGAGACTATAAATCCTCAGATACTGCAGGCAGCATTGAGAGTACCACCGCCAACGCAGGTGCAACCACAACAAGCATTTAATCTTCAATCAACACTATCTGGAACAACTCTCAATCGGCCAAATATTCGCTTTCCAACACCGTTACAGCAACAACAAAGTCTACAATCGATACAGCGACAACACCTTCAGCAACAACAGCTGGTGCAGCAGTATCAACAACTCGTGCAACAGCACCAACAACAACATCAGCAGCAACAGCAACAGCAACTGCAACAGCAACAGCAACTGCAACAGCAACAGCAACAACAGCAACAGCAGCAACAACAACAACAACAACAACAACAGCCGCAGCAACCACAGCAGCCGCAGCAACCACAGCATCAACAACAGTATCAACAGCAGCAACAGCATCCACAACAGCAACAGCAGTCGCAGCAACATCAGCAGGCACAGAGACAACAGCAGATACAGCAACAGCTGCAACAATTGCAACAGCTACAGCTATTGCAACAAAAACAGCAGCACTTATTTCAAAGTCAACAGCAGCAACAAAAGCAGGCCCCGTCACCACAAACACATCCACAAGCGGCACAATCGAAGCTGCAACAACTATCACAAGTGACACAACAAAAGCCGCAAACACCAATACAACAAGTGATACAACAAGCACAACAAAAACCGCAAACACCAATACAACAAGTGATGCAACAAGCACAACAAAAACCACAAACACCGGTACAGCAAGTAACACAATTACAAAAACAAAGTCAACCACTTCAGCCACAGAAAAAACAACAACAGCAACAAACACTACAGTCTAAACCTCCACTGCCGCAACTACAGCAGCCCCAACAGGCTACGCAACAAACTCAGAATAAAGAGCAGCAATTGCAGCAAAAACATCAATTGCAACAAAAACAACAACTGCAACAAAAACAAACGCTACAGCCATCGCAGCCGCAGCAACAGAAACAACAACAACAACAACAAATTCAACAACAGCAAAAAGTGCAGCAACAAACGCAAGCTCTACAAAAGAATCCTCAACAAACACAAGCTCAACTACAAAGACCTCACAATCAATTACCAAGTCAAAACAAGCCGCCAGTGGCAAACCAAAAACAACAACAAAAGCAACATCAAACGCCGCTCCAGCAAAAACATCAACAGCAAGTTCAACAACATCAAAAACAACAGCTACAGCAGCTACAATCCCAGCAAAAACAACAACAGCTGCAATCACAGCAAAAACAACAGGAAAGTCAACAAAGCCAACAGCAAACTCAGCAACAGACTCAACAACAAAACCAACCGCTACCACAGAAGCCGCAGCCGCTGAAACTTCAGCCTTCGGTACCGCAGAAACCGCAGCAAAGACTACAACAAGAGTTTCTCTTACAGCAACAAAGACAAAAACAACAGCAGTTAGTGGAACAACAGTTGAAGCAACAGCAAGTGGTACAAGAACAACAAAAACAACAACAGTTATTACTGGAACAGCAACAACGGCAGAATATCAAAGAGCAACTGTTGCAACAAGAACAACAACAAATACACCAGCAACAACAGAAATATTGGCAACTGTTACAACAAAAACAACAACAAATTGAACAACAACAGGCGCAACTACAACAAGAACAACAAAGATATCGGCAGTTGTTACAGCAACAGCAAAATCAACAGAAGCAACAAGAACTACAACAGCAGCCAACACAGGAAAAAGTTACAATGTCCGCATATTTACCGCCAGTGGCTCCACGTCCACCCAGATCTCAGCCAACCAGCCGACCTATTTCTATGAATCGTTCGCCTGATATGTTTATACCAAATAGTAATAATCGACTAGGACATTCAGTTCCATTGGCCCCAATTCCGATCAGAAATATTCAAGCATCGGCTATTACTAGACATCGTTCGCCGATTCGAAATACAAGTGCGTCATTAGCTAGTAGTCCTCTATCAGCAGGTAAATAGATTTGTTCATTCATTCATTCTTTCTTTCTCTCTTCCTAATTTCGTGGAACGATCAATTAAAACTATGAATAGTCTATTAACCGTGTCTTTTTTGCTTGATTACAGCACCTAATTTGTACAAACATCAGGCTCATCGTTTCACTCCAAATAGTTTTCTACCAATTAACTTTGACTTGACTAATGGCAGATCACCAACATCAATCAACAGCAACAACAATAATTCTCTTCATATACCGGAGAATCTCATCCCGAGACCGCACACTGCGCCATCGTTCACGGAAATGTTTCGACCTGCATCGGCATTGGACATACCTGAGTTAAGTGAAGTCAATCTTCGTAACATGCTCAAGTAAGGGTACACTTGAAATTAAACTTTTTCTTCGCATTTATTGCATTACAGCCAAATCCCTAGTCTAAATGGTTGTCAATTTAGTATTGAGTATGCAGAACCAACAGACATTCCAATACCATCGAAATCGCCCGATGCCGAGAATAAATATCCCGAACCTGTCATTGTTGATCAACTACCCAATGATATTATTCAACATGTCAGAAGCAGTGACAATCTCGCATTGAAAGCTGCCTTAGATCTCAGTATGCAAATAGACGAAAATCTACAATTTGCCGGTCAATCACAAGTCAACACATCCATGTTGAGTAAACAGTCATCAACAGTCATACGTCGGACAACACAAATCAATCAACATGTTCATCAATCTCCTCGATCGCCATCGCGAGACTCGAGTAGTACTCTGGACACATCTTCGTCCGAAAAAGAAAATGAAATCGAAGAAATCGAAATTGTTCCAATAGACATGTAAGCTGAATGGAAAGAACGTCTTCACTCTTTTTCACTATTCTTCATTTATAGGCAGTAAAGTTTCCTTGACATTTGCGAAACTAAATAGTTCAATTTGAAATAAGTGATTTCAAAGCAAGATTCGATATTCTAGTGTCACTTTTGTTTTATCCTGTGCATATTTATCTATTTTCATTACTCATTTTCCTTTCATAATACAATAACACGAGTATTTTCATTTCAACTCGATAATTTGACCATTTCGTTTTCATTCTAACAACAAACAAACAAGCAAACAGACGATAATTAAAAATCGACAAATAACCTTGACTCGACTTGCCAAATAGAGAAACACGGACGAGTACTGAATGCAATCAAGGTGACTATGTTGATATAAACTAATTTTCTCTTATCTATACCGACTGATTTACTAAAGCGTGAAATGAGAAAAAAATGGTTCGGAGAGATAAAAAATTAATTAAAGCCGAATCGTGAACAACTTTATTAGAACCCAATCTTGTCAATATTGTTCTCAGGTGTTTTGTATCATATCGACTGGGGTGGAAACATGTCTGTTTTCTGTTCTAATTCTGATCTACGATCAAATTACGACAACTTTATCATGATAATTCCAGTTTTTTTGTTCAATAAAACGGAAATATTTTAAAGAGCTATTCAACACTGATGCAAAACTCTTTCATTTTCTATTCTTGATGAAAAGTTAATCGAGAAAATTGTTCAGATGAGCAACTTCCTTGATATGATTACATTGAATTTCTGTCAAGATGAGAAGTTAAATATAAACTTCATGTCAGAAAACTTAATTGGCGAAACTCTTCTTTGAACTCTTCGTTAATTACGTCGCTGAAACACAAGAGGAACATATGGATTTCTCTGCAAAGAAAAACCCATATTGATATTCTTTCCGAGAGCATTTCTTATTGATCATTCATTTCCAAAACATCTGAATTCTACTCTAACTGCCGCTTGCTTTGTTATTTAAAAGAACGTGATATTTTTCTCGTCGATGAATCTAATAGGAATATCATCTGACAAAGTTAGACACAAAAATCAACATAGCTGATTCCTTCCGATAAGAACTCATTTGAACATTCTCACAAGTACGATGGGCAACAATAGTACTTCCATTAACATTGTTCTCGATCGTGTACAACCGACGGTTTATTACACAGCCGAAGTCATATCCGGTGAGGTGCAATTTACTGTTTCGGAAAATATACCGACTACCGATAGTATTCATCTAGTCTTGAAAGGAACTGTCGGCTATACGACAATCCATCAACATCGAATGCAAAACGGACAAGCAAATCGAGTAACCAATCGACATGATATATGTATTCTTAGACAACAAGTACGATTCGGTCAAATGACATATGCCGGACATCAACGAATGAAGAGTGGTTTTAGTGATATGACAAGCTTTGAACCTGGTCAATATACATATCCCTTTTCAATTCGTTTACCGGATCTTCTCCCTCCGACGTTACATCCGAACGAATATCCATTTGTTCGTTATCAACTAGAGGTAAAGTATTCACGCATAAAGTAATGAAAAGACAACGTTCCTAATTTCAATTTTGAAAAGCTTCTAGTCGAAAAGAAATGGTATGTGGCAAATACTTATCTTGAATATCCATTACGTATTTACCCTCGTGTAAATCTGCATCACATACCCAATTCTCAATGTTCAGTTAAATTTGATACCGAACACAACGACGTGATCGTCAAAGGTGTTCTTCAACGTTCGGGCTTAATGCCAGGCGAAACGACAACCTTTTCACTTGACATTTTCAATCCGCTTCATTTAATGATTAAACGTATGGATATCTGCCTGATTCAACGTTATGAAATTGCACAATTTCGACGTCGTCTGGAAATCATACGTGTTCCGGTGCCTCAACTAACTAATTTTGATGATCAACACGTCGAAACAACGTGTCCGTTCACTGTTCCTATTGGCATTTCGCCAACCTACTACTTCGAACGGCAAGACGATCGTTACGACATACGTGTTAGAGTCAAATATGACATCAGATTCGAAGTGAAAGCCAAAGGATTCTTCACTAACTTCGATTTACAAATTCCAGTAATCATCGGTACACATTCCGAACTGCATACAGATGGTATTCATCAATCAGCAATACCAACGTCGATAGATTTGAATGCAATCGATCAACTTGAATTTCAAGCAACTGATGATAATGAACAAGCATAATAGTTTTCAAAGAAAAAAGAAACTCTTTTCAAAATCGATTCAAATTGTACCGATAGTGAATGTCTTACGCTTTTTGGAACGATGTACTTCTTCTCTTTCCAATGCTTTCTATAACTAATATATTTGTATTTGCTTTGACAAGAATCATTAATAAAATTTGCACTTGTACTTTTGAGAGCTTTTCCATAGATGTCGATAGCAGTCAGTTACAAATTGATTCTGGTTACATGAAATCCATTCTTTATTTGACTGTGTGACCAATGAAAGAATCGTTTCTTGTCGATAGCAGAAAAAAAACAACAATGTCTATCTTGAACCTGTCCAAAAGAATTTTAGATTATTTTTGTGAACAATTTCTTCTAGTCAACTCTTACGAACAATGCCAAATAGTCAATCAACAACCGATGAATTCAAGAAAGGTGATCGCGTTCAATGGAATTCATTAAATGGTCCAGTCGAGGGTGTGGTTATGAAAAAATTAACGTCGGATACTCACATTAAAGATCACCATGTCAAAGCATCCAAAGATGAACCACAATATCTAGTCAAAAGTGATAAAACAGGCGCCGAAGCAGCGCATAAGCCAGATGCATTAACTTTACTTGATGATGATGATGATGATGATTGAATTTATCAATAGGAAGTCTCCATTTAGGAACTTTTTTTTTGTATATATTCTAATCAAGCAATTCGTCAGCTATTTTCCTTGTTTTTAGATGCACTACCTTTAAGAATGAATCGTTTATTATTCTCTTGTATGTCTTCTCGGTATGGTTTAACAATTCATACTATTCATAAACAATCTTTGTATTTAATTTCATCGATAAATCGATCAGCGTCTACTGTGAGAAGTTGTAATTGATTGAAATGAATTTTTGTATTCATTTTATTAGACCTCGTTGATTTTTTGTCGAAACTATGCTTCTGCTCCTCGACCGAAACTCTCCGAAGTGACGAATACTGACGAATGGATTGCAAACTCGACATCGACGGTAAAATCCAATGAGAAACTCAAACGTAGTTTCATCGATCTTGCATCGTCAACATCAACAACAAACACAACAACATCGACTGCATCACAACCGTTTTGTGATCCGCCAATAAAAGCTGACGATGTGGAAACCAAACATACATTCAAAGAAACTGAACAAGAAGTTGCGATACTTCCGACCGATTTGAATAAAAACGCTCATGTATCAATCCGACAATTGTGTGACTATTACACCAGATTGTCAAAGAAGAATCTCACTAGTGCGTCGAGACTGTCTCTGTTTTCTTAGTGAATCATGAATCTTCTTGTTTACAGTTCTTGTCGCGACCACTGCTGCTTATGGGTTTGTTGTTGCACCTCTACCAGTCAATATCCCATTACTCGCATGTGTAACACTTGGAACTGTTTTGACATCCGCCTCAGCGAATACAATCAATCAATTGATGGAAATTCCATATGATGCACAAATGAAACGCACTCGAAATCGAGTACTTGTTCTTGGCCAAATGAGGTACCCGTCTTTCCAGGTCAAACCATTCTCCTCTACTCATTCATCTATTTCTAGTTATCGACATGCAATTGGCTTTGCCACTGTAACATTGATCTCAGGTGTCACTCTGCTTACATTAGGATGTAATACATTAACTGGCCTTCTTGGATTATCAAATTTTTTACTCTATACGTCTGTTTATACGCCAATGAAACGAAAACATATTATCAATACATGGTTAGGATCTATAGTTGGAGCAATACCACCCGTGATGGGTTGGACAGCATGTACCGGCTCGATCGATTCAGGTTTGTGTAGTATTCAATCTCGTTCTTCAAGAGAACTACATCTAACTTGTTTCTAGGTGCACTTCTGCTCGCTTTTCTTCTCTATGCCTGGCAATTTCCACATTTCAATTCTTTAAGTTGGAATATCCGACGTGAATACGATCGCGCAGGTTATAAAATGATGTGTGTCTCTCACGAACGATTATGTCTAGCCACGTCTCTTCGTTATTCAATTATGATCCTTCTTTCATGTTCATTCATTGCACCAGCGATTGACATGACGACTTGGTTATTCGCTTTAGATACACTACCTGTGAATGGTTATTTGATCTATCTTTCCTATAAATTCTATCGTCAACGCGATGCGCAATCATCGAGAAAACTTTTTCGTTACAGTCTGATACATTTACCATTATTGTTCACACTTATGGTTATTCATCGGCAAGTCAAGTCCCAAACTCATCCAAGTTCGCCATCGAGAAATGAACTAATACCCGTGCCAATGTGATTGAGTCTTTCGCGTATATGATCATTTACTTTGTGTTTGTTTTCTTTTCCTTGTGCTGTTATTCACAGACGTTCTCGTTCAAATGCTTAGGTTCTAATTGTGTGTATGATGAATGGAATTTCACTTTTCTTTTAGCTTGTAGGAGAAAGATTTGTACGTGTTAACGATATAGTTGTTTCTTCCTATAGACATATTAAATTTGGTCCCAAAAGTTGCGGTGATGAACAGAATTCAATTGATTATTGCACAAAAGAAGCTGAATAACGTGAGCGATGCTCGAAAAGTATAACTCAAAACGATCTAGTCGTTGGTTTCCCCTTCGACGATGATATCATCGTGTAGAATTTATTTTAAAAGATTTATTTAACTAGAACAATAAATTAAACATCTACGAAAAGAATCAAATTGGTTCAAATGCTTCCTTTTGATTTATTGTTCTCGTCCATGTCGTTCACTGATCTCATCATCTAATAAATAAGCTGGTCTATATTCAACTAAACCTGTAGCACTATTATGGTATCGCAAATTCGCATTCGGACTGGTTCTTTCCTTATCACCTAAGGATGTAAAACCTTGATCATACATTGAACAATACGACACTTGATAGGTCCTTAAAAATGTCCAAATATCATTATAAGAATAGTTCAGTATCGGATTGCATCTCATATATTCCGGCCAAGTTGGATCCGTTGGTGAGAAATCTTTTAAATTCGCTGAATGTGGATCGGTTAATCGTGATCCCATGACAACACACTGTATATCCGGATGAGATGATTTCAATTGAAACAGAGCGTCTTTAATCCAACCATTAATTTGAATCAGATCGATATCATATCGTTGTACACATTCATCGATAAATTGTAAAACGCTATCGAATTGTGGTTTATTATGTATAAATAACGCACGCAATGTTGGTTTTTTACTTAAATGTGCGTATTTTTCTCGTAAGATTAAGGAATATTGATGAAGAACAACCGTGCAATCTTTGCCGCCATTGAAAGCAACAACGATTTGATCTGGCGTGTATTTCGTTAAGCATTGTTCAAGCACATTGAACGAATGACGAATTTTCACAGCTAAATGTTCGTCGGTGATTGATTGCAGGTAGTCAACTGTCATAATGGCTACTACAAGAAAATAGAAAGTTAATAGGTTGGAATTCTCAAAACTTTTTTATTGTTTGTTGCGTTTCTTTTCAAGTTTTTGACAGATGAATGAAGAAAAAGATGACAAAAGACAGACAAAATCATTTTTGTTTGTTGCTTTTCTTGTTTTTTTTGATTTGATGGTAAGGGGGGCAAGTCGAATGATAAAAAAATACGCACACACACATACAGATACATGCCTTTCTTTGAGAATAACAACACGAAGCATAAGGGAACAAGATAGATAAATACTATATAGACACATAATACATTTTGAAAAGGATGGAATGGTATATGTGTGTATACGATCGAAGAAAACTCACTGGTCTAGTTTAAGAATAGAAACAAAATGACATTGGAGAGGAGAAGATAGGATAGAGAAGAAATCACCGAGGTTCCAGAATGAGAAAGATATAACAGTGATAGAAACGTGTTTCTGCTTCATTTTGAAGACAAATAAATAAATAAATGAAATTGGCGACTTTTCCTATGCACTGGCTGATTCTTTTTCACCTACCATTCAAGATGATTTAGAAAGAAGCACACGAAAAGAAAAGAAATACATGCTGAAACGAAAAGAAAAATATATAGAAACATATGTTGGTTTGTTCATTTGAATAATCTAATTTGAGTAGAAAAAAAGAAACGTGTTTGTTTATCTAAGATGACAACGTTGAAGACGAATCCTTGGCTACATATGTAAAAAGATTGTGCGCAGTAGCAATTGCTATAATATTATCTGTAGGATGGTAAGCACAATGAAGAATTTTCTTCGGATACTCTAAACTATCCGGATTGATTTCATCCCGACGAGTTCGACGAGCAGATGGCAGAACTTTTTTCGCTTTTAACAATTGTCGTGGTCGAATGGCTTGTTCACGTGAAGCTTCGAATATTGCGTCTTTTCGTGTTGAACGTGAGGTGATTTTGAACAAGTTGTGATAAGAACCCGTAAGTAGATGACTAAACAAAGTCTCCGATAAATTTTTACGCGAAGACAGCTACTAACAAACTTACTCGTCATGTGGCGACCAACAGCATTCGAATTTATCAAAAATACAATCATTCTCGTACAAAACACACAGTTTTGTTCGCAAATATTCGTGAATTGGATAGGTCTCGACTGGTTTATTATCCATCTGTAAATCCCAGATCTTGAGATTAAGGAAATCTCTTGTGAGCATATATCTGCCTGAATGACTGAATTTGATGTCGCTTATAGACGAAATAATTTCCGAGAAGAAACTTCGTGTCGTCGGATCTTCAGGTTCCTCGAAAACTAAACAAACACAGTTAAATGACGCTGAATTCGACCACTTTACCTTTGCAATGTCGATCACAAAGTGCGGACTGCCGCATGTCACAAAGACGAATAATACCTCTTGAACTACTGTATACAAATATATTACATTCACGTGGATGAAATTCGGCACCAGTTATCACTTCAGTAAGATCTTCCATATTGGGCGGTTTGATATCCACAATATCTAAAGAGATGGGCTCATTAAGATGTTTTTTTTTCTCTTTGCTTTGTCGAGTTCTTCTCAGTGGATTCTAACAAGCAGAGGGATTATGTTGATTCATAAGTTCTCGTGAGGCAAATGGGTAATACAGGTCTTCTTTGCGGAACCGGAAATACGAATCGATTCCAGTTCAACGAAGCAAAAAGAATCTCAAGAAGACGTGATCTTACCTGAAACTTTGGACATGAAATTGCCACGGTTTTCTTCTATTCAATAAATTATCATGTTTCACCTACAACTCTCCAAGGGTTCATACTCAATAAGCGAACATTGTTGAAACAGCGGCAGTCTGAAGTTTAGTTTTCTTGGAGTTTCATCGCATTTTCTCTCTCTCTCTCTTTCTCTTTCTCTCTCTCTCTCTCTCTCTCTCTCTTTCTCATCAAAAACAAATTTCTTTTCATAAATCAAATGTCATTTTGATTCTAATTAATGATTCTCATGTCAAATAACGCGCAAATGCTACCATTCATTATTATACAGACTGAATCATAACAGACAATTTCACGTATTTCCACAAGAAGAAAAAATACATAATGCTTATAATTATACTCGACATAGAAGAAACAACCGTTCAATTATCTCATCCATGACTCTAATTGCGCTCTTTCGGTCTCAAGAAAATCAACATAATCTCATGTTCGAACTTGTCTCGTAGTTGATGTAATACAACATATAATCGGCCATCAATGTCAGTATTCAGTTGAGTAGAATCTTTTTTTTAGTGGAAATCTTCGACGAAAGATTAGATGATTACGTTCAAATGGAACGTCATTTGAAATGAAACTACTCTTAACAGGATGTTCGAAATAATTAGATATAATAACATCTACTTATTAGAGATTACTCTGATAAAAGTCAAGGTTAGATTAGCAAGAAATACGTACTAAAACTTTGATCGGTTACTTCGGTATGCCAGAGATTAATACGCAAATCATCTGCAGAGAGAAATGTTTCTTGGTCACTGTTGAGTGATATTGAATTAATGTGATATGTATGAGCATTGCCAAAGACGCGCTTCGGAGTTGCTTCAACCATTAATTCCATGGGTTTGATCACTGGTATACGTAGATTTGCGATGTGATTTGTTGAACGAACGGTACCGTTGTCATCGCGTAAATTATAACCTTCGGCACGTTTGGTTTTCTCGGAAATTTTCCACAATTTGACAGTTTTATCTAGAATGAAACCATGCAGAGTATGACATTCATGAAAATATTGATAGACATACCATTTGTTGACAGAAGAAAATGTGCGGCATTTTTTCTTTTCAACCAGCGTATTTGATTGATTTTCTCTTCAATTTCCAAACTCTTTAGATAATCGAATTCGGGCTCATGTGAGTGAAATGTTATGTAAACATTGTATTCATTGCGACGCGGCGATGTTTTCGTCTGAAATCAAATATTTTTCCCTGCAAATAGGATGAATTTGACACGAAATTCCTACTTGTTGTTCACGTTGAAATACCACGATTCGTCCGCCTTTATCTCCCACAGCGAGGAGATTCCCATCATCGTTAAATTCAATCGTCGAGATTAAATCCGCTAGAAGATTCAAATGACAAGTTCAACAAACACTATCCGACTGAAATACACGAACATTTACCCTCCTGAACTTCATCATCAACCGGTCCTTTGACTTGTGATGGATACCACTCTAGTAAATCATCGCCACTGCCGGCATCTAAGAAAAGAAAGAAAAGAAAGACGCTTTCTCTCTCTGTGTTTTAATTATTGCAATTAAAATAACAAACTCTGCATGTCGACATCAGGTGGATAATCCAGCTTGAAAGATTATTAAAAAATTGCGAAAAGAAAAGATTGTTGTCGTTTGACGAAGGAAATTTTCAGAGTAAGACGACTTTTAATTGATGTTTGATATAATAAACCATGAAAATAAGTTGATAGAAATCAAAGTGACATCAAAAAGGATAGGAAAAGAAGAGAAGAAATAAAAGTAAACAAATTTGTCGTGTTCTTCTTATTTCTTCGCATGCTATTGGCAAAAACCATTCGCCAATCGAGTGAATGTTTATTTTTTCGAATATTTCCAATGCAATCATGCAATAGCACATATCCTCTTTCGTCGAGGTTCGATAAATACTTCTGTTGGTTTATTATTAGTTAGTTGTGTTGTATCACTTTCGAAATTTTCACATGGAAATTGCTCAGCTAAATCTCTTTTGTTGTCTTTTTTTAGAAGTTTCTTTTCGAACTAATCTATTTCCGATTTCATCAAGATGCGTTACGCTGCTGCCTACGTTTTAGCTGTACTTGGTGGTAATGCCACTCCAGATGCTGCAACAATCGCCAAAATCCTCGGCAGTGTCGGTATCGACTGTGATAAAACCAAAGCACAAAAAGTAGTCGATGCATGTAAAGGAAAAGATCTTGAACAAATCATCGCCGAAGGTACAAAGAAACTTACAAGTTTACCAGCCGGTGGTGCTGCTGCACCCGCCGCTGCCGCTGCTGCTCCAGCTGCTGGAGGTGATGCTAAGAAAGGTGGTGCTAAAGAAGAACCAAAGAAAGAAGAAAAGAAGAAAGAAGAATCGGATGAGGAAGGAGATGATATGGTTTGTATTCTTTCGACTAAAGAGCAACAGTTCGTAAGAGTTGTTTATGTTTATTCTAGGGCTTTGGTTTATTTGATTAAAATAAATAACAAGCAAAGTAAATCATCGGTTCATTTCCATCAAACAAATTCACATCATCATCATTCGTACACGTTACGTTTGTTTTTGTTAATGTGTGTGTTTTGTATTGATCTGTTATAAAAAAAAAAGAAAAGAAATGATTATCGAAAAAAATCCAACAGAAATATAAATGCCTTCATTACAAAATTCTCATTGTAATTTAACGAAAATTCAAGGATGTCGATTTTTTCGAATGAAAATGAACTTCTCATATGATAAATATGTAGAGGATCTCTGAATGAATCTGATTGGTTGATTATATTCATTCGTAGTAACTAAGCAGACAAATAGACACACAGCGAGAAAAAGCAACAGGAAGGAAGACGTAGCTGCAAGAACGAGCGAGGCACGAAGGAAAGCAGGTGACTTTTCTGTTGCCGTCATCATTGGTCTAAATGACACTCCAGAAAACAAAATCTATTGATTATTTTTAGATATTTATTTCTAAATCCCTAGAAAAAGAACGCGACACATATTTTTTCCTCCCACAATTTTCAATTTCGATGAGCAATTGTTTTCATCAGTGTCAATGTTCACATCAGAACAATAACAACAAATACCTTTCCAATCGTAAGCAAATAAATACATTAAAAGATCTTTGTTTTTTATTTGAATATATATTTATATACCTGCATGATATGCTTACTTATTTATCTACAATCTTACTGTTATTGTTGTTTTTTTGTCCTACTAGATGAATAATCCAGCCGATGATGATGATGACGATTCGTCGATCGATGATTTTGAACATCGAAATGAAAATTCCGAGACGAATTCGGCAAATCCAACGGCAACAACGACTATTATTGAAGATAAATGGGCTTGCTCAATATGTACATATTTAAACTTTGCTGTTGCACAAAAATGTACCATGTGTCGACAACCGAAACTAACAACAGTGAACGCTGCTTCAGCCGATATCTATCAACTAAATGCATCTTCAGAATCGAATACCCAACAAGAACAAGCTCAGCAACAACAAATACCAGCGACTTATATCGATTCAGTTGAAAAATGGCCATGTGATCAATGTACATTTCTTAATTATCCACGAGCAGTGCGTTGTACTCAATGTGGCTCATATCGTATAATTGGTACATCACGTGTATCGCCTGTTCAACCATCGATCGATGCGAATGTCAATGAACGAATTTCCCCACCGGCGTCCACAGCTGATTCACGTCGTATTGCCCAACGTTTAAGAAAATGGACTTGTAATCGATGTACAACTGATAGTAAGTACATTGCTTTTCATTTGTATCGATCAATATTTGCAATTATAACTCGAATCCAATAGAATAGATAATCTAATAGTATGAAAAATGTCCTTGTCAGTAAAAACACGTCGAACTCGTAAAGATCAAGGTCATATAAACAACAATGGATTTATTTTTTTCTTTTTCTGTACTTGTTCTTTTCGTTTCTACATCTTTTCATTTCCATTAGATTATCCTGCAACAAAAAGATGTATATCATGTGGAAACTCACGCCATAATAGTGCCAACAGTTCGAATCCAATCATCCCAACACCAATATGTTCATCGTCATCATCATCGTCGACGTGTTCATCGATCTTAATCGGTACTGACGAAGAACAGCGTATGAATGCTATCAACAAATCGATGGAAAATATCAATGTCGAAAGAGTATCGAATAAAGAAAGCAAAGCCAATCGTCTCAGTAGTGAAAAACGTTTCATATCGAATCCGAAGAAAGCTTCATCGACGCCATCTGACCGATTATGGTTGAAAGCTTGTCAAACATTGTTGGATCATGGTTCATTAACAATCGTTTTCGAATATTTACTTTGTGGCGGTGATCCAACCCGACAAATCACAATTGAAGATAGTCAATTTCTTACTTGTTCATATTTATCCTCGATCGATCTCGTCGGACGAACGTTGAAGAATTTAGCAAACATCACTGGACAAATTGAACAATTCTGTAAATTTGAAAGTGCATTTCAACAATTGATGAGACAACAAAAGAAACAGCCACATACGCGACGTGTACCAGCAAATATTTGTACTCGAATAAATGGAATGATTCAACATTTTTTTCACAGTCATTTGAAACTAAAGAAGATCACTGATTTTCATTCGTACTTTTTAACAGAATGGTTTACAGCTGTGTTACCAGCAGGTAAACGAATTCCGATTGAACAAATCGATGTCGAACACGTTTATGTTTAGAAATTCGTGACTTCTCTCATCGAACCCAACAGCAAATATTCGATGATATTCTTGATCAACAAGTCCAACAAGGTAGTGATCTCTCGCGAATAGACATTTCGCAGTGAATTTCATCTTTGTATAGAGCTTGAAATTGACAATCGAATCATCAACTGGAATAGTGAAGTCACCACTCGATTTCATTCTCGTTTATATGCATTGTGGAATCGAAAGAATGGCGATTGTTTATTAGATAGTGTTCTACAGGTTTGTCTAGGAGTATGGGATACAGAGAATACATTACGTCGAGCCATGGCTGAGTGTTTACAAAATGGCTCAAATAAGTAAGACGGTTGATAAGGAGAACGAATGTTTGAAATAGACTTTTCTTAGATTTTTCGAACGATGGAGTGAATACGAACGATTGGTAGCTGAAAAACAGCAATATCGGCAAGATGAACATCAACTAAGAAGTGACTGGAATGACGTATTAACATTCGCAAATCAACCTGGTGAAAGCTTGGGACATGCACATATATTTGCATTATCACATATCCTTCGTCGACCGATCATCGTTTATGGTGTGACGAATGTCAAATCCTACCGAGGAGAATATTTCATTGGTCTTGCTCGATTTCAAGGTGTTTACTTACCATTACTTTGGGAAACGAATTTCTGTTCGAAATCACCTATATGTCTTGGTTTTACTCGTAATCATTTCTCCGCGCTTGTACCTATGCAAGAACGTATCAATATCTCATCATCATCATCATCCCGTTCATCGTCACCATTAATTCTCAATCATGAAAACGATGTTCAACAACGTCCACCACCATCTTCATCTTCGTTAATAACTCAACCACAAAACGATAATAATGACCAACAAATTTTCTATCATCCATTGATGGATTGCGATGGAAATCTTCTACCTGTCCATTTTCTCACGTCATCTGAAGTATGCCGTTTTTTCTATCTTCATCGGAACATTTAACAACCATTCATCCTTTTAGATTGGCCATGAACAAGCAATCCTTCATCAATGGCTTGACTGCGGTTTCACAAGTAATGGTCTATTAGTAGCTAAACAAAAAGTTGGTAAGTCGAAAACGATCTTTTGCTGTGCTTCTTTGTATCATCGATTGCAAATTATGTTTTAGGGAAACGTCCTCAGGTGTGTCAACAGTCACTCGATGCCTGGCTTCAACTTTATTCGTCGAACAGTGGTACTCGTCGAATGGATTCCTCATCGAGATAGATTTGATTATAACTGTACAATTTTTCTTTCTCTCTCTCTCTCTCTTCGTTTTTTTTCAACCACTCTAGCCACAAAATATTTAGTCTGATGATTGATTCTCTCTCTCTCTCTCGCTCTCTTTTACACAGGGTGCTACTTGTCGATTAAAGCTTCTCGGTTTTTTTTTCTTTCTCTCTTTTTTTGTTTTTGTCACCTCGATTTGCTTGCATTCCATCGAGTTTATTATCTGCATCAGTCCCCACCAAGCTAAACGAAATAGTCGAAAAGTAACGCGGTAAACCCAAGCATAGTTCCCTCTTGTAACAGTATCTATCTATGAAAAACACGAATATTTCTTTCTCTCTCTCCTCCCTTTCTTCCGTGTGCGTGTGTTTTTCTTTGGCTTGATTTGTCTCCTTTTGCTGTTCCTCATGACTGGTGAAGATAAAAATAAATTTTCTTTTTTCTTTTTTCGTTCTATTATACACATATTAATATAACAAAATCGAAGAGTTTTCGTATCATTGACATACGCTGTTGTATCGAAGATTCCTAAACACAAACAGAAGAACACTGTATTACTATTTCTACGCGACAAATTCTATGAAACATCAATAATTAAATATTCACATGTCACAAGGATTAGATCAGAAATGAATAAATAAGAAACATTCATTAGCCCTCGTGAAATATTCATCGAACTTCACAAAATGATGTGTACCTGGATCGTGAGAAAAATTAAGAAACTTCTGCAGATATATCAACAATTGCTTGACGGTAAATTATTACTCGTATCCAGAAATAATGATTCATTGTAGTTAAACATTCTATTTCTTTTTTTTTATAAGAAACTATTCTATTCGAGTCAATTTACTTTTACCTAGAAAGTACTATTACGACAGTATCGTATTTCTCACTTCAGTTTCGTTACATATGCGCAACTCTTAGATAAAGACCGTCTGCAAAACCTTTTCATAAAATTAAACTTTTTCTCATTTCTCCTATTAAAATAACAAAAGAAATTAAAAATATCCGTACCAGTGAAACACTTTGAATTGTGTTTGAATTATTACAACTATCGGCTTAAATTGTCGTCTTAAACGTCTGATCTCCAGAATCATTTGATTGGAACGCACGTCGGTACCGGTTTTTCCTGTATTGATAAAGTCGAACAAGATTATTCAGACATAATGACACGAACATCCAACAAAAAAGAATGAAGAAAAACGGTGCGGAACCAACAATCATTCCGAAAATCCATCGCTGTAACTTCGCTTGTCGATTGTTGATTATATTTTCATAACTGGCATTAATTCTTGTCGCTGTTCCCCATGAAGATCTCGTTGGGATCGAAGGCGAAGAAAATTTACCCATGATAGTGTGTATACAGAAAAGTTTTCCTTCTTTCATATATCTATTCTTTCTTACTTCATTCATTTATTTTTTATGCAAGAAAACGAGTAGCGCAGAAAGAGAGAGAGAGAGAAGGAGAAGAAAAGCACGTCAGTCATCTATCATTACTTCTATGACATACTCACTTTTAGAAACTATATACCACACAAAAAAAGAAAAACGATGAGGAAACAGGAGGAACAACGAGCAAAGAAGAGAAGAATATAAATCAACGAACAGAATTCTCGCTATCTCATGGTTAAGATAGCACGGAGATATTAGCTCAATCTGTCTTAAGAATTTTAATGTCAAATGAGACAATACAAAAAAACATATTACTGTGACTTGTTCACATTTTGAAAACTGAGGTGTTAGTGATAATTATTTTAGGTTAATGATATAGACTTGTTGATTAAATGGCGAAGATCGTTCTTTTCTCAGAAAGAAGAAGAAGAAAAGGTCGACTGTTTGTTTTCCATTTAATTAAGATCAGTTTTTTGATAAAAAGATTTTATCGATAAAAGACTATCCTAATGTGAATGTTTGATTATTTACTTTCATGCTGATTTGTGTTGTATGAAAATCACGAGACATTGTGGATTCGAAATGCATTGAATATCAATAGAATCCAAAGGAGAAAACATCTACTTTCTCATACAGAAAGGAAAGGCAATTTCGTTCGTGACATTAGTTTTGCGATACAATGTCTCGCCAAGGGCGGATCAAGACATTCCTCATCGCATTATTTCTTAGTTCCGGCCGACAATTCAATAGATAATCCTTCATATTCTTGCATCATCATTCATACAAGTCTATTAGTATGCGCCGATCAAAATCAACACGAACAAATTTTCAAATCAACAAGATCTTTTTCTTTCAAAGTCGATATGCACATAATGTTACTTACATATCGATAAAATACGGAGACACTTATGCTTGCTGCAGCGTACAATTTTTCTTGTTCTTGTCTACACGTATGACATGGCCTACAGGAGAAATGGGGTGGGATGTAGAGAAAGAAAAACATGCACAGCATACCTTTTTCCACATGGTGCAATGTTGACTTTGTGTCTGTATCTTTTACAACGAGATTTTGATTACTTTTTTCTTTTTCTAACAAAAATACGATTACAACAGTCTTATCTCGATGTTTCGTCGACAAATCAGTCGGACGAAATTAGTGGTTTCTGTCTTTCAAAAATAAAAGTTTCTTTAGGCGGAAAATTCCAATACAAAGTGATGGATAATAGGATATTTCTCCATTCATGTGTTCTATATAAGCGATCGTTTCTTTCTCTTTTTTACTTTTGATTATTTTTTACGCATCTAGGACATTGTAAGCAAATAACTCACATCGATATTGTACATAACTGCGCAGACATTTTCATAAAAAATTTGTGATTCTTTGCAATTGTGAGCATCACTTCTAAACAACTGTTAAACAATTGACGAAAATTTCATTTCATTTCACATTCAACATATTGTTAAACATTATAGAACTAAAAATGGCAGCTGCCAATTCTGATCAAACTCAATGGCACATATTTACCTGTGACGAACAAGAATTCAGAGTACCTATTCGATATCAAGATCCGAAAAAAATCGGACACGGTGCTTTCGGTGCTGTAGTGTAAGTACTTATATCCTCTTTGATTTTTCTATGAATACGTTCTTTGTCTAGTCAAATGACAGATACGGTATGAAAAATTACCGTTAAGATCACGAAATAAATATCACGGTATAATGAACTAGGTCACTGGCAAAAGTGTTGCTATTAAAAGGTTAATTCAGCCATTTCGAGGCACAGAACATGCAAAACGAGCTTATCGCGAACTCAAATTACTCATGCATCTAAACCATCCTGGTGTGCATGTACGTAAATGCTGACTTTCTATTAATGCTTTTTACATGGATGTGTATTATTTGTGAATATAGATTGTACGATTACTCAACGTTTTCACACCTGATAATAAGTTACGCGAATTTCAAACTTTGTATGTTTGTTTATAAGGAAGTTTATCACCTATTGAGAGCAGTAATTGTTTAGTTATTTGGTGATGAAATATGCCGGTGTTGATTTGAATCGTATTATTCGAAAACATAAATTCACTGAAGATCATATCAAACAGATCATTTATTCGATACTTCGTGCTTTGAAAGTAGGAGTTTTCTATGGAATACGAACGATTTTGTTGTTTTTCAATTTCAGTTCGCACATTCAGCTGAAATCCTTCACCGTGTAAGAATTTTTTTTCAAATATAGGCAGGAAATTATAATATGCTTTCAATATTTTAAATAGGATTTGAAACCATCAAATATTGGAATCGATGAAGATTCGAATCTCACGGTGAGTAGAAAGAGTATACACCTGCTTTTACTCGCTTTTGACACTTTCCTCGATTTATTCAATTAACTCTGATACATTTCAAGAGTTTTCATAAAATATTATTCAAATTACAAAACGAATGTTGTCGAGTGCACATGCAAACAAAAATATGAATAGTGTTTGTTTTTGATAGATTCTTGATTTTGGCTTAGGACGTGTTGCAGCCGACGGAGATCAAACCGGTTATGTTCAAACAAGGTATACGATTCATCGTTTATAAGAAATATAATATTGAATTTGTTAGATGGTGGCGTGCACCGGATGTATATGCGAATTGGCAGAGATATGATGATAAATTGGATACATGGTCTGTTGGTTGTATAATGGGCGAGTTGATTCTACGTAAACCAATTTTTCCTGGAACAGATCAAACCGATCATTTGAAGAAGATATTTGAAATGATCGGTACACCTGATATGTCAACACTAAAGGAAATTTGCACACCAGGTTCGTAGATGATGTGCAGACCAATTCTAGGTTTTAAAGGCTTTGAGAGGAATAATCTTGGATTGGGAATATTCGAGAGAAGTTCATAAGAATAAGAGAATACCTGTTGATTATAGTTTCTAAATTTATCGATGTAATATTAGAGTTTGAAGAACTATGTAACATTCGCATTGCTATGAAAAATATTCGTTAGATGTTGCAGAATTTATCTCACAAATGCCGCGACAAGTCGGAAAAAATCTCAATGAACTGTTTGGCTACAAATATGCTGCAGAAAATCCTCAACCAATATCCGGCATTTCACCAGTAGGTGTCGATCTTCTCAGACATCTTCTAACGTTCAATCATCTTGATCGGCCAACTGCTGCAGAAGCATTAGGTAAAATTAGTTTTCCAGACAGCAGTTCAAGTGATGTGATCAATTTTGTAAAAATGCTTTTGTCTGTATAGCTCATCCATTTCTGGCTGACTTTCATGATCCTATGGATGAACCAACTCTAAACCCACTGGTTGATGAACATCAAAATGCACGTCACAATGTTGAAAATTGGAAAAGTAAATGTAACATACTTTATTCGTCTATGAGCGATTGTTATAGCAATTTAGTAGAATGAGTGTAGTGATTTTAGTTATCGATTGTTTAATACGTTTGATGTCATTTTAGGTATTATCTGGGAACTAATTCAACGGTTTGAGGAACCCGTAGTAGTCGATGACGATGATGACGACGATATGGATGACGATTCATAAAACAGAACATAGATTACAAGATAACTAAGAAAAAAGACTCTCATCTGTGGTGTGTCTCCTTTATATCTTCACAGATCTATTACTTTTGACTACATCAATATGTGATCGCTGTTTTTGTTTTCGTTGTATCACGAAGCTTTTAGTTAAATAGTAGCTTTTGAAATGTTGCCACTTTCTGCATGTGAATTTTTGCGTATATGTATGAAATCTTTAAGAAAATATTCTATCAACGATTGCACACATAACATACAATTAGATTTCAAAGACCGAATTCATATGAAAGAAACATAAAAAGAGGATTAAACGATTAATCCGACTTTTCTACTGAATTGCTGACGAAATATCACTTTCTATATACTTCAATAAAAAATATCATAAAAAGATGAATCACTATAAAGCATATCATTCCTGTTTAGCTCGTTATGATTGCTTTCGTTTATCGCTACTATCGATCATTATATGTATATATCTCTCTCTCTCATCTAGTCTTAACCAATAGGTGAGAATCATCATTTGATTGTATTTTATGTTTGTATACAATCGTTCTCACATAAACTCAATCACGTTCGACAGGATTTCTTTTTATCATTGAGAATAGATATCAATATGACTGCAGTAATCGAAAATCAAGGACAGTGGTATACGACAATTTCTAACAACGAGACATTTACATTACCTATACGATATCAAGATGCACATGTTACCGGAAAAGGAGCGTTTAGTATTGTTCTGTAAGTTCAAATATATTTTCCTCTTCTCTTTTGATCGTCTTTATACTTTAGTCAAGCAGTAGATACAGTACGAATGATAATATCTAGGGTTAGCAATGACTATCAATGTACTCTCATTTAGAAAACAGGTAAATACGTAGCTATTAAAAAGGTGAGAGAACCTTTCAGAGATGTAATGCACGCAAAACGAGCGTACCGTGAATTAAAACTTCTTTTGGATTTCAATTATCCGGATACACAAGTATGCATTCTCAACTATCATCTTACTTGCGAATAGCCATTTTCGATCATTGTAGGTAGTGCAACTATACAATGTCTTTACACCAGAACGAGATGTGAATAATTTTCAGACTTTGTATGACTTATGAAAGGAAATTTGATTAGATGATGCATCATTCTATGTGAATACCTTGTAGGTACTTTGTTCTGAATTACATTGATTATGATCTGCACGAAGCTATTCAGTGTACGACATTCACTGAAGAACATATCAAATTAGTGATATATCAATTACTTCGTGGTTTAAAAGTATTTTCGTTTGTCATCAGTAGCGATTCGCAGTATATTAGATGTTTTATTTTTATTTTAGCTTATCCATTCAGCGGGAATTGTTCACTATGTAATTCTGATATAGAAAAATGTAAATATCAGTTGATCAATGTTTTTTGTTTGAAATAGGGTCTGACACCGCAAAATGTTAGGATAGACAGGTGTGGAAATGTCTCAGTAAGTGTTACAATCATCAAAGTATGCAGAGAAATCTTCAATCAACATCGTCCCTATTAATATTGTTAAGATGCACTTTCATACTCTATTACTTATATTTAGATTACTACCAATTTTGTCGCTAATTTTCCATTCAATGACAACAGTGCTTTCAATATTCCCTCTAGGTATATTAAGAAATCGATTTTGACTTGTCGTATTAAACACAATCTCTTTGATTAGATCTTGGGACGCACCAGAGATACTTACAAATCCAGCGCAATGTAGTAGCAAAGTAGACATATGGTCTGTTGGTGCCATCATGGCTGAATTGATCTTACATCAACCACTTTTCTGTGGAGCAGATCATATGGATTATTTAAATCAAATCATTGATGTTCTTGGTACACCTGATCCAACAAAAATAGACGAAATATGCATACCAGGTTTGTAGATAACATTCAAACTAGACTTGTGAAAACATTTTTTCAGATGCAGCGTCGTACATCAAACAAATTCCAGCTCATCCACCACAAGATTTGAATAATCTATTCGGTTTCAAATACGTTGCAGAAAATCCGCAACCAGTATCCGGTGTTTCACCGATGAGTATCGATCTTCTCAAGCGTCTTTTAACTTTTGATCATCGTGACCGTCCAACTGCCGCTGAATCACTGGGTAAGCGAACTTTCAATACTGCGATTCAGTTGATGTAGTTAACTTATCGCAAATTTCGTTTTTTTTTGCATAGCTCATCCATTTCTGACTGACTATCATGATCCTATGGATGAACCGACTTTACATCCAATAGTTGATCAACACCAAAACGCAGAATACAGCGTAGAGGAATGGAAAAGTAAGTGCATAGAACGATTCCGACTTGTTCATTAAAGTCTAGTTAATAGTTTAAATCTGAATGAAATATGTCCTTGAATTTCAGAAATCATCTGGCAATTAATTCAAGATTTTGTTATACCATCTTGGGCTAACGAAAGCATTCACGATGATTGAGACGAATATATAAACTCATAGATAGTTTTCAAAAATAATAAACAACATCGCGGCATTGTACTCGTCTTCCTCTGCGTATTCCTGAACTTCTGTTCGTAGGTAACAAAAACTCTCTAATATGAATAAATGAATACAGATAAAATCGATATAAAAATATGTTTTCAATGAGATTTCTATCTAAATGAATCGAACGGTTCACAGTTTTCATAAGCGACAAAGATTGTATCTCTTGTTGAATATCATCGTACATATTGCCAAGTTCTTGTTGAAACATCTATATCTATGATCGGTTCATCATTGTAACAAAAAAAAATCATTATTCAGTCATACAGAGGGTTATATTAATATTCAAATAAAATGCATCCAGCTAGTCTCCAGATGCGAATGTATATATTCAGTCAAACAATACGACAGTAGAATAAAAGAAATAAATCATCAAGGCTGAACAAATCAAACATGAACCTAAGACAGCAAGTTCAAACCAGAAATGTACTCTAATAACAATAAACAACCCGAATTCGACAGAGGGAATGTTTCTCCACATGATAATCGATACAAAAAAGTAAATCGCTGAGATTATTTCTTGCAACTCAAGTTGTTTTCTCAACAATGTACTCTTCTAATCTAATTATACAATCAAACCAAAGGCGTCACACACTCTTGAGAGAAATTCGTCTAACGATCTTTCAACAATGAATCTTATGTCCTTATGCCTTATTTATGAATCATATGATAATATTGTTCAACTTCAGTTCTTTCTTTAAGATATTGATTGATTCGTACTGAAAGGAACAAGCGTCTTTGATAAGTCAGTTGTTTCCAATGATCGGAACTCTGGTGAGTGTCAAACAAACATAAACTAACTAACGATTTTCATGTTCTCTCATACGTAGATAATTTCTCACGAAAGAAACCCACGCAATCTTGATGAGTCGGTGCTCTTTCATCTACTTCTCAAAGTCTCAATTATACAACATGTTTGAACTTGCATAAAATTCCTCATATTTAATTCCAGTCAATGATTTGTCACGGTAAGGTTGTTGTTGTTTTTTTTTTGTTGGGGAATTTTTATTATGATCGTGATTAGATATATACACTGATTTAGACCAAAGTTGAGCTCATCAAAAAAGAAATCATGTTAATGTTCATTCTCTTTTCAGTTCAATCAGGATGTTGACATTCCGTTTCTGTTCTTTGCCCTTTCGTGTCTCTTAAAACAATTGGCGATAAGGTGGAGGTGTAATCTAAAGCAAAAAAAAAACAAACGATTCGATTGCTTTTTCCGACAAATAAGTTTCGCCTTACTTCATCTTCTCGAATATTAAGTCGCCGAGCAAGATCTAGCAGTGTTGATGTATCTAGTAAGACATTACTGAATCGATGTTCATATTCGACAGGATTAACATGAGGAACAAATGTTTTTGTGTATTGTCGTTCGACTACGACTTTCGGTTGATCATAGACGATGATAATTGTCGGAGGTTTACGATATCCTTCTTGTACACGTTGAGGATTCGGCTTAGAATTGTTCATTGTCACAACCATTGCGAAGATAAGTTTCAATTCGGTTTGTAAAGAGTACTGAAAGGAACGTCCTAAACTTTGCCCGTGTTTATATACAAAACAAGTGGAGTAATCAAATAACTATTGAGAGAAATCAGTGAGATATCTCGTCTATTTATCAACTGATAAAAAATCATTTCTGTTAATGTTTTCTTTTGAATTGCTGTACTATTATGAATCATATTTGATGTTATCTATGCTTTTCTCTTGCATATTCTCGATTGATTGATGACGTTTAGCATTTGTCATGTGACAAACAACATCAAGCGATGTTGCTAGTTGACTTTTTTTCCATCTTTATTAGTCAATACGAATAAACATTGTAATGAGAAGAAAAGAAGAAAAAAAAAACAAGACAAAAACGAACATTGTTAGCGGAAAAATGAAAAAAAAAGCAAATGAAAAGCAATATATGAACGAAAAGAAGAAAAAAAAAAGAAAAGTTTAGAGACAAAACAAGACGAGAAAATCTCGACGAAAAAACGAATTACGTATCTTCTGAATTTTGTTCATCATCATCAACATCGTCTTCATCATCACCTTCACCATTATTGTTACTCTCATCGATGTTACGCAAAACAATTTCACCTTTGTAATTATGAAAATGATAGTCGGCAGTTGCCATATCAATCGCCCAACGAAATTTATCACGTTGAGTTTTGGAATAGACTTTCTCGATCGGAACATTCCATTTCTTACACCTAAAAAGTCAATGAGTGTCATGTGAGCAGTAGGCAAATGATTTTTTTACCATGCAACACTGATTCGCGGATCGAGATAGTTTAATTTGGACGTGCCCAATGCGATTTCTGCGTTTTCTCTGCGATCTAATTCTTGAACTTCAAGCTTCTTGAGCGCTTCGTCGGCACGTTGTAATTTCTTTTCGGCGGCTTCAACCTTCTTTTGCGATGCTTGGCTTTTCGAATTTTTATGTTCAGCTTTCGCTCGTTTTAACTCTCCTTTCAGTTCATTAACTTCGCTTTTCTTTGCATCGATCTAAACGCATTCATCAGCAAAAATCTTCATCAAGATTCGCATTGACTTACCTTTGTCTTTAAAGCACCCATGCTTTTCTCGAATGTTTTCGGTATGGAACGTTGGTGATTACACAACAATGCAACTTGCCGATTAGCACGATTGTAAGCGAGGACTTTTTCGGCGACATTAGCTTTGCGATCTGTAAGAAGATCAAGTTGTTCTTGAAGAGTTTTCGACGCATTGTATGTTCGGAATACTTTTGCCGTAAGACCATCCATTAATTCACTTAGATATTGATTTAAACTTGCCGTCTAAAATTCCAAACTAAAATTAAAAGAAAATTCATCAATTTTGTCGCGTCTTACTGTAAGACGATCGAATAATTCATCTTCGCCTTCTTTGTTTTCGATGAATAGTTTCAAGTTTTTATATACACGTGGCTCAACAGCAACTCTATTATTGTATCTAAAGATCAAATAGAATTGGTCAACAGATAAAGTTTATGAAAGATTTGTTATAGTGTACCTTATACTATCTTTGCCAAGAAAGTCGAATTCGACAACGTTGTCGCCAAGTCTTTCATCACGATCATGTAATCGGATGTGTTCGACACGTAATGAGCAGCAACCGACGGTATCTGCTTCGTCTTCATCTTTTTCGTTACCAGCACGAAGTGCGAGCTTCAAGAGAAAGAAAATATGTGCGTTTGAAAAGTGTCCGATGAATATTGAATTACCTTGTCGATAAAGTAAAGTGCAACAGCACGTTGACGTATTTTCATCTCTTTACTTTTCCAATCCATTTGATAATTTTCACGTATTTTATCAATGATTCGATGAAGTTTTCGTGCTTTCTCGTACTTTTGCCAATCCCGTTCGCCCTGAAGGTAAAAAAAAGTTAAATATAGCAATTGCAAAAAAACAAAGAACAAACCTTAACACGAGATGATGCACTTAACATAATATACTTATGATTTCCTCGAATGTTCTCTGTCCACATAACAAGCCAAGTGACTTTGTTATCATGTCGAACTTCTTTCCATTTGTGTCCTTCCGGTGGTTTTGGTGTTGTTGCTGTTCGACCAATATTGATAATAACGTCTTCTGGTCGAATACGTTTTTTCAAACATCCCATTTTTGGATGTTCACCGCGACCGCGAAAGAGACCAGGAGGTTCGATTTTGTAATTTCCTACAGGTTGTCGATGTCCGTCCCATAGACAAAAGCCGTATTCTTTCCGAATCCGTTCATTTTCTTCTTTGATTTGTTTCTTTTCTTCTTTGCTCATGTTTTTGCGTAATTCACTTTGTTCTTTAAAATAATTTGCTACTTGGGTAAAGTCGCATTTACGGATATCTTTAATAACTTCACGTTCTGCCGACGTCATTGATTCCCGCCAGTCATTCATGAAATTTTCATTAAAAATCGCTTTCGAAGTATAATCGTGATCGAGCATGCGAGCATAGAATGTCATTATTTCTTCGGCTGCTGGTTTCAATTTAACCTCGGAACCTAGAACATAACGAAGTTTTCAAAAACACCGGGTGCCAACCCAAGATCGAAACATACCATTGTAGAAAAACTTCACACGAGATGGCAAAGGTTCATACGGAGGAGGAAATAATGGTCCTTTGTGTTCGAGAGTTGTCCACTTGCGACCATCGGTGTATTGTTCATCTTCCCACCTGAAAAATAAAGGGATGAGAATGAGACCAACGAGAAAATATATGGATATTTACCATCGCCAAACATCTTCTTCTTCTTTTTTAGTTCGTTTTCCAGTAGTTGCTCCTTTCGTCGGTGAAGAATTGACAATCGGCTTCGATTCTTTTTTCGGTGTGACTTTTTCTTGCTTAACAGTCGCTGTTGACTTCTTTGTGGACGCGGATGACGGAGATTTAGACGTAGATGGTTTTTCATTTTTGACAGCAGTCGGTGTTGTAGAAGTAATCGCTTTTTTTGCTATATGATTTTTGGCCTTTTTCGACTAGAAATATTGAAATCAGCTGGAGAAAACGAGTTTGTAAGACTTTCTTACCAATGGGGCATCGTCATCATCGGAATCGTTAGTTGTACTTTTACGTTTCGGCGGCAATGGTTCGGTTTTTGGCTCTTTTTTAATGACAATAGTTGTTTCCTTCTTAACAACGGGTGTCGTCGATTCCTTTTTGATCGCAGGAGTTGTCGCTTCTTTTTTAACAGCTGGACTTGCTGTTGTAGATGTTGGTTCTTTTTTCACAATAGATGTTTGAGGTGTGTCGGTTTTAGTGGGTGTTGATGCAGGTTTTGGTTCACTGTTGGTCATCGACGGGCCGTTTGACGCTGTTGTTGTTGTTGTTGATATTAATGTTGCTGCTTTCTTCGCCTAAGCAAAGAAAAATAAAGAAAACATGTAGATGTTAGTCTTTTTTTCCGACACGGACAAAATCATTTATTAGAATTGAAACTAAATATTCGAAGAGTGTGATTTGAATAGACATTTTTGAGGAAAAAAAACTAGGCGCAATGAGAGAAAAATTGTTTTTCTTCAACTCACCAATGATTGATTGTCATTGTCTGATTCGTCACTATCAGATAAAATACGAGTTTTGCGTTTTATTGGTGAACTCTGCATGGGTGGCCTTTTATTAACAACCGGCGATGATTTCGAACTATTTCCGTTCGATGCGACTTTTGTGTTATTATTCGACTCTTTTTTCATCGTTGGCGATGGTGAACTTTTTGTGCTGTTTGCATTGGTAGATAGAACAGATTGTGGTAGTTTCGGATTGGCAACACTCATCATGAAGAATGTTTGATTAAATGTGAAAACAAGTTAAAATCAATTGCAGAAAAAAGAATGTTAATTATTTGGATTCGGCACACGATGAACAAACGAACGAACGGCTTGTTTGTGTGTTTATATATGGGACTTTATTTTTCTATGTGAGACTCGACAATTTATTCGATGAAAACATGAGTCATCGAAATACTATGCGTTGTGATGATGCAATAATAGGATTGTTTTTTAAAAATAATTTCATTTTTCAAATGAAATTAACATTCTTTTCGAATTCGTGGAGAGTTTTTACCTTTTCAAGATTTGTTAGAGAACAAACAAGAATAGATGTCACTACATAATGATTGATACCGTTGTTACAATCTCGAGAGAGAAGGAATGAATAAATCACAAGGAAATGTTCATTTTTTATACCCAATGAATCTTTTTTTCATTGTATATTGATGTAAAATGACGTTTCTTTTGTTCAGTGGCAAACTAAATGTATTTTTAGCATATCTGTTCAAAACAATTGATCATATTTTGTTGCGCCTACACGCATGAACGAATGTTCTCTGATGAAAACAATTTCTTGAAAGCATTTGACGGTGTATAACAGAGCATCAGTCGATCGAAAAACTTTTTTGTAACAAGATTATTGGAATTGTCGTGTGATTCCATAAGGACTGTATTGACGTTTGCCATCATTCTCCCCCTTCGCGACCTTTTTCAGTCACGCAAAGATTAACGAGGAGAGAAAAATAACAAGAAAACTTCTGATTTCTTATTATAACGCGTATTTCAATGATCTGAAAAACAGCATCAGCAATGATCATGCACACACGAAAGAATCCATGAGAAAAGAAAACAGATTAACAGATGGTGGATGAAAAACTTGAAATCTAAGTACCAACTCGGTTTGTTTCCAAATGAGGCATTGAGAAATATCTTGAAATTCTATTTATAACAGATATATTCACATCAAGAGACTACTTTAATAACGAGCCTTTGATGCAGGATATAACAACTACCGGGTTTTGTGCGTCAATATAAGATTTCATTTCATTATCAGTTACCAATTAGAATCAATCTACCGACTTTTTTTCCCCTTATACGCCTATTGTGTAATACGACGAGAGTAAAAGTTTCTCTTTAATACGAGTCACATTCCAGGATGTTATTGAGCAGAAAAATCTTCGATGAAACGATGATTCAGAGAAATATACGTGTGAAAATCATCAGCCGATTTGCTTTTGCACTAAAAACGTGGCGCATTTAAATGGATTATTTTATTAATCGATATCAATCTGTATGACGAATATCGAAAAAAAAAGATCTAATCATACAGGTTTTCATTAGTTATTCATGACAGTTTCGACACGAAAGACATATTCCCGTATGGATAATATGCGAGCGGTTGATTCTACCATTGGATGATGTGCCTAGTTTTTTGTTTGTATGCTGTAAAGATATATGTAAGAAGGAAGAGAAGAGAGCAGAGAAAAATAATGATGATGGTGATAAAAAAAAAAGAAAGAAAGGTAGAAGAGAATTCCCTACGAAAACCCTTTTTTTCTTCGTTCTTATCTCTTCTGGCAACAGTTAGAAAATACGCTTCTAATTCAACTTTATCGTTATGTTCATTTCTACGTTAGTGAAAGACAATGAAAAGGGCAATTCTTTTGGTCGATGCCCAATTCCTCGGCCTTCTATCTCTTTATTATGCCTTTTCTTTTTCTCGTTAGCTATTCCATCATGTCTGTCATTATCTCCTACTCAAGTACTTCGTAGTTGCCATTGAGTAAACCTATCATTATCACTGTGTTCTCTTAGATAGTAGTTTTCGTCCGAAAAGAAACGTCGTAAGTCTGAGAAGAAGATTTTCTTCTCATTCCCTCTTTCTCTTGTTTTCCATTAGTAATCAGATATACATTTCTTTTCTTAATTGATCTGTCTTCTTAAATTATTAAAGGTAATATTGATAAGAATGTTGATGGTTAAAAGTAACTGTCTACCTGAGTGTATATATATAATATCGAGTAGTTTTTTCTCATTTCACTTCATCCACAAGTATGTTATATGAAGGAAATGTATAGAAATGTCTATCCTCTTGGCGTATTTTTATCTTATCATATAATGAAGTTAATTTACTACCCTTAAAGAGTTTTTTTTTCTTTAGTACTATTTGTTTCCTTTTTTATTTTCAAGATAGACATTCTGCTTGCCTTTGAAACCTTCAAATAATGTAATCAGTCGAAAGAAGACAAACGCAAGATATTTACAAGCATGGACATGACATCCAATGTAACTATTGATGATTTAGTTATTGATAATTTAGCATTGTATGAAACATTTCGTAAATCATTCTCACGCGATCCATTTGATCATTATGTCAATGGCGTTTGTGGTCTATTCATTTGTTTATTAGGCACACTAAGTAATGCATTAAGTTTCTCTATTCTTGCTCGACGTACCATGCGTCTTTCGACTTATGTCTATTTGGCCGGTCTTTGCTTAAGTGATTTTACAGCTTGTCTTTTTCTCATACCTGGCTATATTTTGGATGCGTATCCAGTCGAAGTACCTGATTTTGAATTGCCAAGAACGTACACTTATACGAAAATTCTCGTCATCGCAGGTACGACATCTAATCAACGAGATTATCGTTATCGTCTTGTTTTTTTTCTGAATGATTCTAGGTGCAATTAGCACGACGGCTCGTGCTCTTAGCGTCTGGCTTTGTGTCGCATTTACAATTGATCGATGGATTAGTATGTACATGAAGATTAGACAATTTGTATTCTACTCTTTCGTCTTTTTTTCCTGCTAATTTAGTGATTTGTCGGCCATTCGTTGGTCCACTTTACTGCACGATGAAAAATGCTCGACGTGTTACAGTCATTCTTTACATAGTTGCCATCTTCTATGCCGCGCCACTGTTCTATGAATACGAACCACATGAAGAAACAGCCTTATCGGAAATTCTTGCTAATCAAAACAAAAAGTTCTATCGGTATATCTTAAGTGATGTGGGACAAAATTCAATCTTTCGATGGACTTATGTAATTATTAATGCACTTGCTGTTTATATCATTCCAATAACGATTATTGTCATACTTAATCGAAAACTACTTATTGCGATACGTTTATTAGAGCAACGTTCAGCTGAATACAATGCGCCGTTGCCAACAAAACAAGGTAAGCTATAAATGATTGATTACAATCTCTCTCGTTTTTCTTTATACGTACTAATGGAATTATTTCAAGGTCAGATGTTCAAGGCAGATGAGGAATAGTTATTTGTTCTTGTTGCTTTAGCAGAAAAAGTTTGAAAGATTATTTCTTATGATAGATGGTGCATTCAACGTGAATAATCATATCCTGAAGGAATAGAAGAGAATGTTGTTGATCAATCGAATAAATCTTTTGAAGTTATCTCTTCTATTATCAAACAGATTTGCAAAATAAAACACCGAAATATTGTGTGAATCTATTTTTAGGTGTAACAATCATGTTATTAGCAACGACAATAACCCTACTAGTATTTCGTTCACCATGTGCTATTCTTTCTGTTATGTGGTTGATCCGTGCAAAGATGTTCGTTAATGAAAAGCCGCCATTTCCTCTACGAAAATTTCATTCCATTGCCAATCTTTGTGCAACACTCAGTGCCGCCACAACATTCATTATGTTTATCGTCTATGGGACAAAATTTCGTTCGGAATTTACTCGAACCTGCTGTTGTATGTTCACCAAAGTCGCCCTACCAACCCGAACAAGTCACATACGAGGTGATCAACAACAATTAAAACAACTAATATCAAATCATAGTCAAGGTTCCGACAAAAATTCAGCCAAAACCAAATCTTATCTAACTGTCGACGAGAGTTCAAACGGTAAAAATTATGCAAATACATCAAAACGTCATAGCAGTGGTACGTCAACAGCGAAAACATCAATAACATCGCTTTCGCCAATGAGACGCTTCAGGCGACAACGATTATCCTATGATCACGAACACGACTTAGCACTGAGTTTAAATGCAAACACGCGCTATGATAATCAACAGCATGAATTAACAATACGGGAAGAGGAATGTGGCGGAGAGCAGATTAACACGAAACCGGTATCATTAACTGAATCATACTTTGGCTGGTTTAAAAATCTCTTCGGTCGACATTGAAAATAATGATACAATCGACTTTTCTTGTTTTTCTTCACTGTAAACATATATATATCAAATATTCCCCTCTCCAATGTTGTTTTTTGTTGACTATTTGCTCAAAAATAGCAAATATAGACTTGTATGTATCTCGGTAGATGCTCATTTTACTTGATGGAAAAGCCCGGATTCTCTTGTTTGTGACTATAAATATCGGATAATCAGTTTTTGAAACGACTAGAGCCGCTGACATATGACTGCGCATGCTTGCCTTCCGTTTTAATAGCTCTTGTAATTTCTAATAAGCCGATAGTATCTGTTCATCAATAGACTTCCAATGGTAAAGTAAAAAGACCTTGTAGTAAATCAAAGAGAATCTTTTCTAATTAGATTTCTTAGTTGTTTATGGATCAAAACATCAGTCATGAATGAAATTTTCATTAGATGATAAAGAAGAGATAAGTCATGACGTCAATGTCATCGAGTATCTGTGACGACGAATGATGTCAACATTAATAAAACAGCATTACAGATAGGTAAATTGTTCTTGATGCGAGATGTGATAGTCAGCTGCAGAATCGTTTTACGAAGTAGAATTATGTTAGCAACGATAATGTAGGCGTTTTATCGGTCAAAGGATTCTAATACAAGATGAAACATGTGTTGTTTGAGAGTGACAAACGGATGTTTCTAAAAATTAAAACGCCATCTGATCTTTGAAACATTCTTAATGAGAATCAAGTTTGAAATTCTAGTCTTTTGAAAAGATTGTTGAGAAAGAATAGATTTAGATGAATTTTATATAGAATAATTGTTGCCCGCTCTTCCTTATTACTCTGTAATTCAAGAAGGGATGCTTACATTATAGTGATAAATTGACAGTTTACATACGTACAGAATGTTATATTTTGCTTAATGTTGAGTTCATGTCATTGCACTGTGCTTCGTTCTATTTATGGATAAACAATTCCTCGAGACGACATATGCGTTTCAACAGTCCATACATACAGATAAAGGAGTGGTATCAATTGTTAGCGAACAAACAATGTAAAAACTTCAGATCGAAGATAAGCTATACTCGTTGACCTGAATTTTAATTGAACAAATTATGAATACATGTCTTTAATGATATACTTCCTCGACATCTGTTTAGAAATCCATGTGTGAATACAAATGAAAGCAAGCGAGACTATCATCGAGGAGGATAAATGTTAAAGAGAACATTTGAAATGAAGATAATTAAGAAATGCTTGACGATAGTCTAAGATTTCATTGTTGAGAATTACAAATGAAATTTCTTCGATACGCAATGTTTGCTTTTTCCTTTATAAAAGAGAATTGATGCTAAAGAGGGATCAACTAGTTCAAAAGAAAGATTTATATGCACGACACGTTTTTCTTTGTCGATACTCCCGATTTTCGGTTTATGGTGTATAACCCCGAATTGACCGAAGGTTTATTCGATGTCGATTGTATTCAATGTCGAAGCCTTTTCTTGCGTGTGTTTCATAATATGATTACTCACAAGTAGACATGTCCAATAAAATCCGTCGTTTGAAAAAACATGTTTTTGTCTCTTCATAATTAAGTTTGAAAATGTTTTCACGATGCTGAAGCCATGTGTTGGTTGTTAAGTGTTGTGTGTTTCTGTTCGAAATAGAAGAGATGAAAACATAGACTTACGACAAATCTTACCTTGCCAAGAGGAAAAAATGGAAGAAGCAAAGCGAACGTAATCTTAATAAACGACTGATTATTTACTTTATTCAGTTGTACAAATAAAATCAGAAGAATTTGTTGGGGGTAACAATTCGTATAGAAGATGCCACCCAAAAAACGAGGATTTTTCAGTCGAAGAACTAAACAACCTAGTCAACCAAAGAATATGATACTCGTGGATGACGATGACCCAACACCCGTCAATTGGCCAGCAAATACACCGATGGTGCCGACCGGCGCGGGTAAGTTTTAGAAATCAATGATTCTATGAAATCTCCTAATTGAATGATCCTAGTCGATATCGATGAGTCCGTACAACTTCCAACACACACAGTTCAACCGAATAACGACCAAAACCATGGACAAGTACATTTACCACCGATCTCTCAACAGCAGTATAACACGAATCACGCGCACAATCATCATCATCCTGATAATTCTTCACGCCTTTCAGCAGATCATCAGCATTCTCATCATCAGCATCATCATCATCATCATTCCGGACGTGCATCATTACCCCTACTGGATCATGATCATAATCCAGACCACGGTCAACATCACCATGAGCACCAACCGGTCGAACATCATCATCACCATGAACATGAACCAGTCCAACATCATCATGAACATGAGCATCACCGCCATCATAACAATCATCAACAAAGTCATCATCATGAACACGGCCATACTCATCGAATCCTCGAAACATATGATCCTCGTTGGTGGTATCTGAATACACCGGTTCATGCACCGAAATCCTGGCGATCGCCTGAGTATCATTATGTATCACCGAAATGGTATGAATCACCACGGCGGTATTATAAAATTTTAAAAAAACCGGAAGATTACACTTTACCACCACGATTGCATATCGACTGTCGATGTTTAGTATGCAGACCACCGAGAGAAAAAACTCGTGGTATCAAATGGGTTCTCAACCAATGAATTGTATCATATCATCAGACAATTAACGAAGAATCGAACAATTTTTTTTTATTTATCAGTCGCCAAATCGTTGTATTTACACGAGTAATTACTTTCTTTTTATGAGGCAAAGTCGTACAACAAGTGATAATGGTTTATATTATTGAAATAATAATTTATAAACATTATAGCTTTAGGTTTTCTCTCTAATGAATATTTATTCGGGGCGAACTGCTGATACGTAAAAGCACCTACCAGCCATATTGACAAGCGAGTTTTTCTTGATAATGCGACATGCCTGATGAGAATCAGCTAAAGGTTGAACAGTCATCATTAATTAGCAGAGACACGGCGCGAAAAACTAACTAACGTCCATCTCCAATCTTTTTTCATGCAGTCGTCTTCTTCTTCAATATTGTCATTGTCTCTGTCTGAAACAGCAAGTAAACCATGTCTATCACCGATATCACCATTACAGCCAATACATCCTATGGATTCGATGATTGATATCGTTGATGAAATCGATAACGGAGGTATTTTTCTATTTGAAACTGAACGACAACTTATCTATACGGATAAATACGCATGTGCGATACATAGTGTATGCTTTTTTGGTTGTTGGATATGTACGATTCCATCGGCAATTATCAATATCTTTGCGCAAATAGCAGCGAAGAAAAATCAAATGACTCGAGCGAAAGTTTTATTTAATATCGCTTTTGTTTTCTCATTTTTTGGTTTAATTTTATTTGTTGTCCAAGCTGGTTATCTAGCCTGGCTCCTACGATATCTTCTACACAGATTTTTCACACTATAAACTATAAATAGAACTGTTTGAAACCAAATACTTTCGTAAAGTACGCCTTTCAATAGGAATATACAGAATTGCAAGTCATATGCTGGCTTTGTACAAGAGATAATACCTCCTGAATTAAATAAATATTCATGGGATCACGCCATGTTCTTTGAAAAAAACGGCGTATACTGATTTAGATACGTGGGAATCGTAGCAGATGATGGTGCGAGAACTAGAGTTTGTTTTCGATCGATTGGATATATAAACGAGGACCTGAAAATTATCACTTCAGTAATCTTTCAACTTGTTTTTCGAGTGGAGACGGTGGGTACTTTCATCTTGAACTACATTGATAGCGAATGATTTGTTGATTATTGTTATTTAGCAGGAATGCAACAACAAACGATTATCGTATTACTTCTCGGCTTGGCAGTATCTACATATGGCCTCGACCTTTCCCATGCTAAACGTTCAGCTGCTCTTGAGCCACGCGTAGCCAACTTTATTGGCGATTTGTACGCTCAAGTTATCTTCCCACCACTCAAAGATATTGTTACAAGTACACCTGACTGCCGATGAAAGCGTTCTGACACCTTACCGATTCTCCTTTGTTCGTTTCAGAATTGGCAGTTTTAGTTGCTGAAATTGTAGCTCGTGTTTCCCAAATCGGCGTTCTCTCTACTGATGGCCGACGAGTTCATCCATCAGATGAGCAACTCCGCGGTTTCTTCAGTGGTTTGTGGAACGAAGCTCTTAAACCACCTCTTGAAAACACCATTCAAAGTTTGTCATCATTCAACAACGTTAAAACCATTGAATAATTTAAAATCTAATCTATTTAGATGTTGCTCTTTTGGCTGCTCAAGTTTTGGCCGGTATTGGTTCAAATGGTATCAACCTCGGTATTGGCAAACGTGACTTAACAGAAGAAGAAATGCGCGGTTTCTTCAGCGGCTTATGGAACGAAGCTCTTAAACCACCTCTTGAAAACACCATTCAAAGTTTGTCATCATTCAACAACGTTAAAACCATTGAATAATTTGAAATCTAATCTATTTAGATGTTGCTCTTTTGGCTGCTCAAGTTTTGGCCGGTATTGGTTCAAATGGTATCAACCTTGGTATTGGCAAACGTGACTTAACAGAAGAAGAAATGCGCGGTTTCCTCGACTCCTTGGGTCAAGCCGTCAATGATGTCTACGCAAACGTTCTTCAAAAACCAATCGAAAACGCTCTTTCCAGTAATTAAAAAGCTTTCTTTCGTTCATATCACTTGAAGACCGTATGTTAGGTGGTGCACTTATGTTAGCTCAAGTTCTCGCTGGACTTGGTACTAATGGTATCAATTTATCTGGTCTCCTCGGAAAACGTGACTTGACAGAAGAAGAAATGCGCGGTTTCCTCGACTCCTTGGGCCAAGCCGTCAATGATGTCTACGCAAACGTTCTCCAAAAACCAATTGAAAATGCTCTTTCCAGTAATTAAAAAGCTTTCTTTCATTCATATCATTTGAAAATCGTATGTTAGGTGGTGCACTTATGTTAGCTCAAGTTCTCGCTGGTCTCGGTACTAATGGTATTAATTTATCTGGTCTCCTCGGAAAACGTGACTTAACAGAAGAAGAAATGCGCGGTTTCCTCGATTCATTGGGTCAAGCCGTCAATGATGTCTACGCAAACGTTCTCCAAAAACCAATCGAAAACGCTCTTTCCAGTAATTAAAAAGCTTTCTTTCGTTCATTTGATTTGAAGATCGTATGTTAGGTGGTGCACTTATGTTAGCTCAAGTTCTCGCTGGTCTCGGTACTAATGGTATTAATTTATCTGGTCTCCTTGGCAAACGTGATGTCGACTTTAGCGGTCGCGAAGCTGAATTACGTGGAATCTTTAGCTCAGTCACCGGTGCTGTTGTCAATGGTTTAGCTGGTGTCTGGAACAACATTTTCCAAGTTCCACTTGAAAACTTTGTTCAAAGTGAGTTATTCTACGTATAACTTTTCCCGTTCATCATATTCGTCATTTTCATAGATAGTGCTCTTACTGCTGCTGGATGGCTCGCCAATTTAGCTACTGAGGGTGTCAATATTGGCTAACTTTTCACAGAATAGTTTCGGTCGTCGTTGAATAAGATCTAAATAAAAAGTTATCTGTTGATACAGAGTCAAGGAGAGAAATGTTCGAGTCTTTGAAATACACGAAAAAATCTCTTAGATCAATTAATTCATTTGTTCATAAATCGATCGGCAAATAGAATTCGAAATGATGCAAAGAAATTCGATTGTCAATATCTTATTGTGAACCGAGCAGCTCAAGATGCGCATATTTGAACGATAGAACGAAAGTCTTTCTACAACTCAATAAATGATGAGATTATTTCAGAAGCATGTGTCACAATCAATAAACAAAGAAATCTATTATTTCTCTACAGTATATTCATAACTTGACTCATCCGTCGATCTACGTCATTGATCCATTAGAATAATAAATAAATATCTCAACTTATTACAATCATAAAGTGATCTCGATATTGAAATTATCATTTCCAAAGTACTGTTTGTCAGGGGTCGAACTATTTCTTGCGTGAACTTAATCAAGATAATATTTCCTCAAACAGACGTCATTCGATAGTTTAATTAAAATTTGCTTATATAAATAATTTAGGCAGGAGACTCATGTAAATATATTTGTTGCTGATTATCAACATTCTTCGGTGTAAAACTTGTCAAAAAGAAATGTATTCACTTGTCACAGTCTACATTGATTAATCAATTGGGAAAACAATCCATTATTTTCCATATTTGCCTTTCGATGTTGTTCTCTCTAAGTCTGCGTCATAATTACCTTCGAAATAGCGTTTCCCATTCATATCCTGTGGTGTAATTAGAATTTTTTCTCAGCATAGCATGCTATCAAAAAAGTAGATGAAGGGTATGGAGCGAATCAAACGGGGATCAAATAACAACCTAGATGAAGTCAATAGTCATGATTTTTCTTTCCACTAAATAAATATATATATATATATATATATAAATATCTTAAAAGTCAAGCGGATGAGTGCATCGTATGACAATAATTTAAATTGAGGCGCGGTTCAATGCTCTGATTACATTCCATGTAGACACCGTTCACTTCAAGTCAAAGATCAAGAAAAACGTTTATGGGAGCGCGATGATTACATGACTGGTTGATATTTCAAAGAGGGAGCCTGGAGAGCGAGTTCTCGGTGATATCTTTAATGCATTGAGTCAAGCTTGGAAATCAAGTTTTTCTTTTTTCATACAGTTTAAACTGAAAAGAAACATGAGGCACATTTGGGAATGGTTTGATCGTCTTTTATTTATGACTTCGAATGACATCTGTTTGCCGAACAGCCAAAAAGTAACCGGAATTGAAAAGCAAAAACTGAATGAGTATGAGAGAATTAAAGAGGTAGAGAAAAATAAACTGAATATGAGTGATAAAGAATATACACCGTAATTCGCGACTACTGGGTAAATCTGATGTTGTAAAGTGACTCGTTTTAGACCGCTTGACGACGTTTTCGTCTGCCCATCAATAACATACGATTGCGAACACAATCAGCATATTCTTGACCACGACCACTAGCTGGTATTTTGTTGCAGGGCTTTAGAATTTGTTCGAAATCAGCGGCTTTCTTTAAAAGAAAATGCTCATTTTCACTTGATTCATCATCTTGGGAGAGAGAATGGTGAGGCTGTTGGCCACGATGACGTGTCTCTTCGAATCGGTCAATGCCGTTAAGATTGTCAACCATACCTTCTTCTACTTGATGATTCGATGTAGCCAAAACCACTAGTGGAACAGCCACAGCAATGCATATACAAAATAAGAATGAAATTTGGATGCTCATTGTTAGTTTAAGAAATTGCTGTGTAATTCTTATCTAGAAAACTAAATGACAAAGCACACGAGTGGCTAAAAAGTTCTTGAGAGTTCAAGAAAAAAAAAGAATAGACTTTTTCTCGATCATCGAAGATCACATCTTTCGTGTTTCTCTTCTATCAATTATTGAAGAAAAAACTTGATCAGAGACTATGAGAGAACCTAGAAAAACAATTGTCATATGTCGATAGTTTTTAATAATCTGAGAGAGTGTGACATTTCTTCTTCGCGTCTCGAACATCTCGATGACTTCCCGTCATAAGACAAGAAGAGACTAATAAGCACATCGAACGCGAATCAAGTGAGGCCAAAGAGAAAAGGCACAAGTGGTGTTGCAAACAAGAGAAGGAAAACAGCGAAGAAAAATAAAAAGAAATTTAGTTATCAGTTCTCAGTGGAATACTTCATCTCGACAAAAGAAATAAGAAATGAACAAAAGAAAGGTAATAACACTAGTATTGAGGGCAACTATGTGTGTGTGTATGTATATGTATATATATGCCAAGGGAGACTGATCGCAGAAACAAAGAAGAAAAGTCATAGATCATCTTTGATTAAGAGACCTATTCTTCAAAAGCAGGAAGAAGAATATCATCCGGAACCTTTTCTGTATTTTCAGTCAATGATAAACTCTCTTTTTTTCCTGTTTCGACAAAATCATATATCTCGTTTCTTGTTACAACCAAGAAGAAAATGTTAACATATGGCAAACAGGAAAACCTAGTATTAAGATCGGTATATTCATCAAGAATACGAAAGGTTGGCCATCGGCATCAAGAAAGAGGAAAAATGAGTAATGTTAATAATTATCATGAAACGTTTCGATTAAAAAGAAAGTTTGTAACTAAGAGAATGTTCAATGAGTTCAAAAAGTGAATTTTGCATGTTTGTTGTTCCAAATATGCGTCAATTAACACAAAGGAAATGAATTCCACATCATGAAATCTATTTAGACATATTCGACACAAATTAGCAAAGCATGATTTCAGTCTAATATTGGTGAATTTCATTTAGTTGTTTAAATAGATTTTCGATTCGCGGAAGTCGCGCAGGTTCTTCGTTAAGAGAAAAGTAAAAATATTTTTCTTGACTTCGGGAGTACAATGTCAATGTTTCAGTTATCAGACCACATTGCGATTTGTGTTCACTACATGTCCACATAACAATCGTCTGATAGTCAGACATGTTACTCGTTGGACTTAGTTTCCAAGTACGATCGAAACGAAATTCATTCGGTGTTTGAGACGATATAGTCGCTAATCGATTCGATGGATACGTCGGAGTTTCGTTAACGACGAATTCTGATGCGCCGAGTACTGTTGGAATTTTGATATGAGGATCTTGCTTTTGACGAAGACGGTCAATAGTTTCTAACGCGATAAGACCCGATGCTGTATGATGTCCATGCGATTGAGTGCTTGGTAACATAATGAGCATCATATGATAACCTTCGTTTCCATTTCCAGTTCGAATTGTTTGCTCGAGTCTTTGAATGATCTCTTCTTTATTCCACTGATCAGCAAAAACAACGTCAACATCTCGGTCATACTTTAAGTCAAGTTGATCATAGAAAAAGATCTTCCGAATGCCTAGGATTCTTCCACTACCAAGTAGTTCTTGTTTCCGTATACGTGGCAAATGTTGTCTTCCAATAATTTCTCTTGATAATTGTAAATGACCGTATAGATACTCCGCTGGAGCAGAATGTCGATACCCACCCTCACCATTCGTCACACACACGAGATCAACATTAGCTCGAATTTTATGCGCTAATGCATGAAGAAAACCAGCAAACATCGTTTCATCGTCCGGATGTGCGATGACGACGAGTACAGCAAGTGTCGAACTCATTTTACCCTCAACTCTATGACGATTTTTTTGTATTTAACTTATATTTATTTAGAAAATAAACACAAAGATTAGATTAAAAAAACTATATCGTATATTCTTTCAATCTTTCTGGTTGTATGAGAACGTCAGACAAAGGAGAAAAATAACATTTATTGTGCACTTTGCATAATTGAATGTTCGATGGCCTTGTTTAGTGCGTCACGCGCACATTCATAAACAAATCGATACTGTTGCTGTGTTTGTATAACGTTTGAGCGTTGCCGGCGGCATTCCTTCGCCATGGCATAAATATCTAAAGTCCTGCCGCGTATCATTTTTATCAAAAGTAAACTCACTAATAAAGCGCAACCAGTTCGTCCTACACCTGTATTGCAATGAATTAATAATGGCGTTTCATTGGTTTGATAAGAATGTGCTAAATGAATCAAATTGAGAAATGGTTCTGTATCGTTAGGAGCATTTTCATCCGACGCCCATCCATTGTATGTTAGGAACATGATGCAATGACCTTGCTTGTGATTCGATTGATCGGTAGCATGAACGAGAAATTCTTTCACGTCTAAACCACCGTCCAACTGTCGTTGTTTCGTTAATGTCACAGATAAACTAAAACAATAGTTTTGGAATACTTAACCCTCAGGATTTTCTTTGCCTTTGTTACTTACAATTGTGAAAGTGTCATTGTTGCTTTGACTGTCGTTGGCCAATAGACTGGACATTTCATTTTCTTTAAATCTTGCTCGTTGAATATGCCTATCATACATTTAATACGTTGATCAGCAATCATTTGCCAGAAATCGTCTACAAGCGCAAAGACGTCATGAAATTTCGAGCAAGAAAATACTTACTGACGCTATCTGGTACTGGAGGAGGACAAATGATATATTTCATTGATTTCTCTCCGATGGGAATCACTATATGGCTTGCATTGATGTAGTCAGGTTGTGTAGAGAGGGTAACACGATTAAAATCGTAGGGAACGATATTCTGGAAACGATTTAACGATTGATTTTTCGGTTGAGTAGCTATAGAACTGAATTCTGCTGGTTCGTGTTCATTGAGAGTTTTTAATGCCTTAACATTTACGAAAGTACATCAATAGATTCTATTTATTCGCCGAAGAAATGGATAGTTTACTCGGAATTCTTCTAGGTACTCTTGAGAGTCAATTTTCATATCAATCTCCCGGCATTCGTCCATTAATGTCGCTGTTTCCATTGTTATCGCCGGTGTGCTTATCTTGTTGACTAATTGTGCAGTTAAATTTTCGACTTTTTCAGCTACACCAGCATTGAGGACTAAAGTTTCTTTTTCCGTCCCTCGCTAAACAAAAAATAAT